CCCGCGCTCCCCGACCCCGCCCGGACGCCCCCCGAGCCGCGCGTGCCACAGCCGCTGGCGCTCCCCACACTCACGTCCATGTAGTTCTTGAGCATCTCGGGAATGGGCCCCCCGGCCACAGCGGGCGCCCCCTGGGCGTACTTGGTGGTGGGGCCCTGGGCGATCAGGCCCTCCACGGGGCCGCCCACCTCCGACATGGTCCGGCGGATGGACTTGAACTTGTGCAGCGGAATTCTGCCAGGAAGCGGGGCTCGTCAGCAACCCCGCAGCCGCAGGAGAGCACCCCAACCTCAGTCAGCCGGCCCCGCCACCCCGTCCCCGGTCTCCTTCAGGTGGCGGCCAGAAGCCTGCAAGGCCGGGGGGACCCTGCGGCCCGGGGTGAAGCTCTCGGGGCTCCCCAACCACCTGGTCCGCTGGCTGCACCTGCCGCTGTCCACCCCGACCCTGAGGCCTCCTCTCCCTCCGGGCTGGCACTGAAGCTCAGTGTCCTGCGCCCGGGCGGCTGGCTCCTGACCTTCGGAGGGGCCCCCCAGCCATGCTCTGCCCCCCGGCACCCGCCCAGCCCTCAGCAGCACATGCTGCGGCCAATCGGCGGCTGTCCGTGTTGCTGCCCCCAGACCTGTCCCCCCACACCTGGATGGCCACCCCCAGCACACCTCGGCGCCCCCCGAACCCCGCCTCCAGCGGCTGGCCCTGCTGGGTGGCACTGGGCGTGCCAATGAGGGGCGCAGGCTGGGGTCAGAGGTCAGTTGTGCTGGGTATGGTGTCTACCAAGAGGGAGGTGGGGGCCTCCTCTGGCTCCCCGTGGACCAGGAGACAGGCAGGAGCAAAGGTGACCACCTGCTGAAATGTGTCCAGGCAAGGTCACCCTGGGCCCCTGGGCCAAGGGTGTGTCCCGGGAAGATGGCTCTTGCCTAAGATCCGGTAGGTCGAGGAGCCCAGGGCCCGTGGGGTGGCGCCAGGAGGGGCGCAGGCACTTTGGCTCAGCTGTCCAGCATTGAAGCCCCAGGCCCCTCCCTGTGCGGCTCTGGGGTGGCCTGTGGGTGGGGCGGGGCAGGCTCCGTGCCCACAGCCCACGGAGAGGCCCACGCAGGCTGGCCCGTCCCACCCGGCCCCCTGCCCGTGCAGGCCCAGCCGGCTCCGGCGGATGACCTCACCGCCTGCCCACAGGCGGAGGCTGTCAGGTGGGAGAGGGCTGTCTGCCTGGCGGAAGCCCCCCGCCCCCACCCGAGGGCCGCCTGCCGGCCTCTGGGCGTGGACGGGGGAGCCTGGAGGCCAGTGGCCTCACCCAGCACCTGGGGCCCCCTGCCCGCCCCCCTCCCCCCAGGGCTGCTCCCTGGTCCTCCCTGGGGCAGACACTGGGCAGGGCCAGGTGCAGGGAAGCTGCGGGCTCTGCTGCCCACCAGGCCGTCTGCAGAGGGCCACAGCCGCTGTGGCCGGGGCCGGCCCTGCGCAGGCCCCCGCAAGGTCAGGCCGGCTGGGAGCTGCGCAGAGGGGCGCCCTCAGGGGAAGGAGCCTGCAGGGGCTAGGCCCCACCGCCGACCTCCGACGTCCCTGCTTGCTCCCTGCGCGCGGACACCCCAAGCCCACTGTGCCGGGAGGACGCTGCCACCGCCCCCGGCGCCTCCCGTCCGCGCCAGGGGATCCC